TATTATGATTTATCTATTTTTAAAAATATAAAATATAAAATATATTTCCTTGAGTATTTTTTTTATTTAAAAAAAAGCCTGTATTTTCTTAAAAAATATCACCAACTTTAACTCCACTGTTGAATCAAGAACCCGAAACACCAACAATCTTTCAAGCGATCCGCCATGCACAACATTGAATAAGACTTAGGATTGGGAAAATAAAAAAATTACACAATTTTTTCATTTTTAGAAATAAAAAAATACACTACAAAAATAATTTTGAAAATTAAAAGAATTAATAAAATATATGTCAAATAAATCCTTAATTAGACAGCCACTGAATCTACAAAATTTATATATACTGCCCTTAACCTTATTTCACATTAATAACGAATAGCACGTCAATATATTTATTTATTTACTTAGGTATGTAATTTCACCAAAAGAGCTTTTTAGCTCCAATTTACACATTGCGCGGAAACAAAACTCCTAAACACAAAAATATAGCATATCAACTCAAATTTAAATCACAATAAGAACCATTAACGACCAGTGTTTTAGAAGTGAGATCAACCAAAATATCTTTGCTTATAACAAAGATGACAAAAAGAAAATTACATGAGTGGAGATAGAAATCCTACTCCACATTGGCAAGTTCTGTAAGCTCTGCAGTTCTTGTTAGCAACAGTAGCTAGCCAATTTTGTTTTTAAGAACAAGATATAAAGATTATTGCTTAAAGGTATTGTCCTGCCAGCACAAACAGCTTCCTGCATCTCCTCCAATTCCCCTGACATTTCCCCAAGAGACTTCTCCTTTGATTAAGGTAAATTACACACAGCTAGCACAAATAGGGAGTTCCTCACTCCAATCCCAGCCAGATACCCGCATTCAGTCTTCATCTTATCATGGTTCTACGCCTCTTATAAAAATTCGAACGAACCCACAATAGCCGCCGACGACATTCCGTGACAAGTTGACCTCAGCCTCGTTAGAAATATCTCCGCCGACACAATGAAAGTGGTGCTATTAGGTCTGAAATTAGCGAAGAAGAAAGTTAGCACGTACATCACCATGAAGCCATTGTGACTCTCCGACATCGTCCAATGATGGTAAGGCATTGCAAGCCCGAGCACGAAAACTAGTGCGTGGATGGTAAGACATTGCAAGCCCGAGCACGAAAACTAAGTAGCCACGAACGGTGTCGTACAAGGCAGTGAGAGTTTGTGCCCTCGAGATCTTGAAAACCACCTCCAGCGTGTGCCTTCGATATCCATCCTATGGCTCTAATGATATCTTTTTGAAACAGATTTTGGCTGTAAAATGCGATGTCTAAAACAAATCATATGATCGCTGTTCCGAGCAAATGAAGGCCATGAAGACGGGGGAATCTATCGGGGCTGTTCTCCTAGCGTTAAAAATGGGTAGAAACTACAACCCCTAAGATTTTCGGAATGTATGTATTCTTTTTTACTATATACATAAAATATTGCCCAACAAATCCTGTTAGTATTTGAGACTCAAAATTGAAAAAGAACAAATAAAAAAAGAGGGAATTACATACCGAACATCCAAAACTTGCTATTTACAAATAACCCTCTTTCATCTATTTTTCAAATGATCGGTCAAACATCAAAATTCACAATAATACCCTAAACTCATATCTTTAGATTTTATCAAACTCTCAATAGTTTGATGGTGACACTAGTAAATACATCTATTTAGTAATTCAAAAGATCACATGGATGATTAGAGCATGAGATATATATATATATATATAACATGGAAACACCCCAGATAATTTCGCCCGTTTCCATGACCTTCATTTCGTCGGAACGGGGATCACATGGTTTGTATTAGACATTGCATTTTACAACCAATATTTGTTTAAAAAAAGATAGCTTTAGCACCATAGAATGGCCGAAGGGGGCAACAATGAACACACTCGAGGAGGTTTTCAAGATCTCGAGGGCACAAACTCTCACAGTGTTGTGCTTCATCGTGCATGGTTACTGGCTTACGGTTGCGCTAATCAATGTAATAAGTGGTTTACGATCCAAATAATAGCATTTTTCTTTCTGTTGGTATTCATGCTCGGGCTTGCAATATCTTATCATCATTGGACGACGTCAGGGAATCACATAGCTTCATGATGATGTACGGACTAACTTTCTTCTTCGCTAATTTTGGACCTAATATCACCACGTTTTCAACCGGATCTTCTCCAAGCAACCTTCAGTACCAGAGACCTCTCTACATTCTTCTCTGCATCTGGCAATTCCTGTAGCTTCTGTTGCACCTCGTTTTTTCCCTATGCAGGCGCTGTCAGTTGTCAGAGTCGATTTCTGCAGCCTTTGATGTGCCTCAATTTTTTCCCTGCGTAGGTGCCTGGTTCACTACACCATTGTGATTTCAACGGTTTTCACTGTGTAGGCATTTGGGCAATTGCAGGCTTCCATTTTCAACAAACAACGAACATTATTTTCTCTTTCTAGTAGAAATTTTGGTTCGCCAATGAGATTTGTTTTTTTCTCTCCTGTGCAAATCACAGAAAATCTCCAGTTGAAATCCCATTTTTCACTCTGGTGGAAATCGTTGTCCCCCATAGAACCACACAGAGCACTGGCTTCCTTGCGAGCTCTCCCATGGTCGTTTTCCCTGCAGTTTTTTCAGTCGCACATCCTTCCTGCGGGATCTTCCAGCCATCGGACCTCCTGATTTCCTTCCAGGACCGTCGAAGCACCTACCTACAACAGGACCTATCCCTTGATGGCTTTCCTGCCACAGGAACTCCCTCTTAAAGTCCTTCATGTCGGTGAAATTCCCTCCTGCCGCCCTTCTTGTCGCCAGAACTTCCTGCGGGCATATTTGCTGCCAATTGGACCTTCGGTTTTACTCCTGTAGTCGGTTCTCTCCTCTGCAACCTTCTCGCCGTCGGACCTCCCTCATGCAGGTTTTCTCACCGTCAAATTTACCTGAGCAAATTTTTCCCTGCAGATTTTGGTCAGCTCTTCCCAAGGAAAGCACTGCTCTTTCTTGCAGCATTATTGCAGCCTTCTCCGAGCACTATAACTTTTCTGAGCGATGTCGTTGGCCCTCTACAACTTTCTTGCAACCTCCCTAGAGCCTCCTTACAGCTTTCTTGCAACCTCCCTGCAGTCTTCTTGTAGCTTTTATGCAATTATCAGTCAACTAGTAACTTACAAATTCATAAATATCTCGAAATTGAGTTTAGCCCTTGTCCAGACCACTCTCGGGCTTCGACATTCTCGACTTCAGCGCTCTCAGGCTTTAGCACTTTCAGACTTCAACACTTACGATTTGAGGATTGTTGAAGTTTTTTGGCAAATTGATGCTATATGTCTAGTCAACATACAACAACTGATGTTTACAAATTCAAGTTGAATATGATTTTAAACAATGTTCAACTTGAGGGGGAAGTGTTAAAATATCTAATTTAAATTACAAGATTTATTACTTTTCCTGTTAAGACTTATAATATGAAATAATTTATTTCTAAAAAAAGTTATGAGGAATAAATTATTTCATTAATATAAGTAGATATTTTCTTTTCATATATTAGGAATTACTTGTTTTGCTATTTTATATTATTTTCTATTATCTCCTAATAATTAATATGAATGAATTAATTATTAGAAATATCAAGTGATATATCTTTCTTTTTTTTATTTTTCTTATTATATGATTCCTGTAAGGGTTATTTATAACCCCGTTCATATCAATGAAATTAAGAGATTTCAAAGTATTCCACCTCATTCCGCATTATTTTGAAATTTCAACAGTGGGTAAGGTCAGAGCTATTGTGGGCTCGTTCGAATTTTTGCATGAGACATTGAACTGGGATAAGACAAATACTAACCGCTGGTATACGACTCACGAATCATAATGGCTTCACAATAATGCAAGGGCTAATTTTCTTCTTCGCTAATTTCAGACCTAATAGCACCACTCTCATTGTGTCGGCGGAGATATTTCTGGCGAGGGTGAGATCAACTTATCACGGAATATCGATGGCGGCCGGGAAGGCCAGAGCTATTTGGGCTCATTCGAATTTTTATATGAGGTGCAAAAATAGGATAAGATGAGGACTGGCCGCGGGTATCTGGCCGGAAAATCACAGTGTCTTCTATCTCATAAATCAATGCTTTTGTGGTCTATTAGAAACTAGCTTAAATTAATATATATATATATATATAGTGTAAACGAACCGAATACGAACGAACAGAGCTTGTGTTTGTGTTCGGTTCTTTTGAAATTTAATTTGTTTGAAATAAACTCGTGTTTGAAATTATTCGTGAAGTCACAGTTCATGTTCGTTTCTTAACGAACGAACCAAACAAGAGCTGTTCGGGAACGACGAGCCAGTTTGACATCCCTAATATTAATATATATAAATAATATATTATATTAATTATATAACTTATATTATATAAATATATAATAT